GAGATACCTCCGGAATTGGTGAATACCATACATTTACCCAATTACAGTAGCGTATTCAAATTCGGGGGGAATTCCGTGTTAGTATCGTATGTACCTCACAAATATCGAATCGTTATTCTCGTTTACAGTACGCATGATACGGATAAATGGATATTGATCTAAGTATTAGGGACTTGCGAAACATAAATGAAGTTACATTTTACAATCTTACAAAAGCAGTAGTCGACGTTGTAGACCCGACCTGTCAAACAGCGCCCTCACGAGCTACTTGCCCGCCTGGGGAGCCCGGCGCTCCTACGGGCACGGACTTCCCCTCACTCCGCACACATTTCCCCTCAAAATCCTGAAAGGGGTGTACATGGACAAACTAAAGCGGCGCGAGACGGTGATGAACGACGTCATACGAAAATATGTTTGCCAGATTTTTTTTATCAAACAACCGAGATTCGTATTATATTTGTATTATTTACTACTACTAATTCATATTTATTTTCTCTTTAAATTCTGTCTTGTAAAGGCATTTTTGCTAAGCGGCAGAAATATGTTTGAATAAAGAAGTCTTTCCTTGTTTTTGTTTAGGGTTTTATTAAATCATTCAGTAATTTGATGTATATGAAAATACTGGTAAATAAATTAAGAAGTTTCTCTACATTAACAAGTCTCGCTTACGGGCTAATCTTTATAAGTGAGGTCTCTAAAGAAAGAGAAGTTCATGGGGCGTGACAAATTGCATGTTGACTTTAAAAATATGAAAAATATTTTTAAAAAATACTCTGCGAAATATGTATGCCAAATGCAACCCGCAACACTCAGTCAGCATTGTTTTGACTCTACATCATTAAATAATTCCTAAACTAATGACCATTTTTCACAGGTTCTAGGACCATAAAAACTAAAATTTTAAGGCCAGAGCCTCAAATAAACTATTATCACGCCTTCTCATCTACAGGATGAAATATTTTTAAACATTCTACTTCATTTTTGCTGGTTTGGCACTTTCCTGATTCTATCCCTTCCTGTTCAGAAACGTTCAAATCTGCAACTGTATGTGAAATTAAAATGATTACTTGATGTACGGGTGTACCTCTTTATTCGGTAATAAAGTTAAATAAGGATAGTTTGCATTGACAAGGGTGTATTGCATCGTTCTCAATTACAAGGAGACAAATAGAACATATGACGGAGGATAAGAGGACCTTGAAGAAAATTATATATTACAGGCTTAATATAGAAATAGAAAATATGGAAGTAGGTGGGGTTTATCACACGAGAGTTCTCGCACGGGTACATTAGTACATATAATATGCCCCCATGAGGGCGGTGTATCTCAAAAATGTATCGCTTTCTATCCGAGCTTTTCGTATCGCCCCTCCCTACTGGACAATAATAAT